GTGTTTGGAAAACTCTATCCACATGGGTAAATGTTAATGATCCAACATAGTGGTGCTTCAGAGTGGGAGAGGCAGCCATGGGAACCTCTTGTGAAGTAAGTTAGCGGCATGGCACACGCTGGGGCCTGAAACCCTCCTTCCCTGATCCCGCCTGGCCAACAGGTTGATCAAGCCATTGATTAAGTTTTGGGCAATGGGTCTCATCCAAGGGCATGTTCCTTTCTTTGGGCTGTTATAATGTGTAACCACTTTTGGGAAGTTCAGGATGTTTATTCTCAAAACATCAGTGCGTGAAAAGCCAAATAAAAACTGTTTAGCCAACTTCCTCGTCATGGTTAATATATATGATTATAAGATACTATTCTGTTCCATGAGAAAGCTTCTTTTGGAATATATTATTGATTCTTTTTTCATCAAGTCAGGGCTCATTCTCCTACTGTCCTAGGTTATAAATAGGACTGGAGTCCATCCAGCTAAGTCAGAGCTCCCTCTGAAACTCTATTAGCGCTCCAGCCTGATAATTCCCATCCGGCACTGCTTCCAACCCTCCAGTGTATTTAGCTGTAATTAACTGAACTGTGACCATTTGCATGCCGCTCACAGCTGTGGGAAGAAGAGCCATCCTTCTTGTTGGCTTTTATATAACATGTGTAGTTTTTCTCTGATAAATTCTGGCAAAAACATTGTTTTCCTACAGGGTTGTCCTGCAGTCCTGCTGGCCTTAGAGTTGGAAACCCAGGCGTTGTGTTCATTTCTGTGTGCTGTTGACTACACTCAGCAGCCACTTCATCTAACATGACGGGGTTAGCTCAGTGGTCCTGGTTATTGGAGGTCCAGGCGTCTCAACCTTGAAAGGCTCTGCCTCCACTTGTTCCCCTTCCAGGCACCGTGTCTGATTCCACGCCTACCTTAGCACCTTCCCCAGCCCTCACTGGGGTTGCTCCCTGCTAATCCCTTACAAAGCCTGAGACAAAGGTTCCTGATTTACTCTGACTTCCTGTGGCCCCCACATCACAAAATATTCATAGCTGGGTGTCCTCTCAGGGCTGTGGTCTTCACTGATGGGTCAGCAGCAGGGCAGAGGGTCATTAGTCATCACAGCTGGCCCTGATGGCAGCCATGGTGTAGCCTGGCCTTGCTGCTTCTCTGGTCCTGGAGCTGAAACACAACCGAGCCCTAGATGTTATCTCTAGTTTGACCCAACCAATGCTTGGTCTTTATGACCAAATCAAAAAAACTGTGGGAAGAAGTGATTTCTTTCCTTGTCAGAATCATTTATTTTATACATTTGTTCAACAAATATTTATTGTAAGCACAGAACATAGAGCAATGAACCAAAAAGACAAAAATTCCTGCCCTCATGGAGCTTACATCTAGTGAGGGAGATAATAGTAAACGATGTGTAGGTTTAATGCCTACACCTTAATGGTTATGAGAGTGGTCGCAAGAATGTGTCTAGATTTGTCAAAACTCATTGAAATGGACTCTTAAAATTAGATGTATCTATTGTATGTAATTATACTTCAGCGAAGTTGGAAAAACACACTAAAGAAAAAGTGATAACTAACCCACTTAATTGGTGACAAAGTCACATCAGTCATGTTTTATGTTTTAGGATCAGTATTCAGAAACACTTTAAATCTGGGTGAACCTCATAATATAACCTGTTTTTACTTTGATAAAATGACATTATACTAGGATAAGGTGCTTATTTCTCTTTTATTTCCCCCCATGACTGGTACAGAAGCCAGTTAATTAGTTGATTGGGTTCTAGGAAGAAAACTTCATTTGGCGCCTCCATGTTTTGAACCAGGCAGTGAGAACTAGACTCAACAGGCTCCATATTCACTTCCTCCTGGAGCCTCTCATATATTTTAGCAGCGATCATAGTTATTTGCAAGAAATGCCATAATATGCCAAATCCTGAGAAAACAAAGACGGTCTGGTCCCTTAGCTTTCTTCACTGCTAATCAGCTCAATCCTCTATCCTAGACAAGAGAAGAGGGACTCATGGCGTGTGTTAGGGATAATGAGTTCAGACTGGGAGTGAGTGTGCTACTAAACAGCCCTCTGGGAAGTCCTGCCCAGCGATCATGCTAGGAGGGGGGTCCTTAATTGTCTCATACGCTTACAGTCAAACACTCATTATTGGGCATGTAAACCATGTTTAGTTGCACATATGCTATAAACATATATATTCACAAATCCAGGCAGCTTCCAACCTGCTTGTGACAGCTGCTGAGTCAGTGACTTCCGCTTTGATCTTACTGAGTCCCTTTCTGCCAAAAGTCCCTCTGCTTCCCCCTCCCCCTGCCCAGCCTGCTGACCAGACTCCACGGACATTCCTTTGGTTACAAGGAGTCCTCTTTTGACCTTTATATCCCTTCTCTAAATTCACGTGACACCTGAAGTTGTTACTACTCTTTTGATAAATAATTATATTTTTTGACAATCTTTATGTTAAATTGTTTTGGACTTCTAAGACAATTTAATGTTTCATGTGTTTATTACTGCAAATTTTGTTGAACAATCATTTCTCAATAGGGGCAGGGACCATGCCAAATACTTTTGAATTTTTCCTATAATGCATAATGCCGCATCATGTATAAATAGATGCTCAAGATATTCTTAACAGTATGTGTTTAAAGAATGTTTTTTATTCCCTGTCATCACCAAGAAAATAGCCAAGTAAATTACTCTTTGTTACAGAATTTTGACTTTTCTTCTTCCAATTAATTTCATTTGATGTTAAAACTTCAGATTATATATTATTCAAAGTAAAATTCTTTCAAAATGTTTCATTTTTAAAAAACTCCTTAAGTTAAAAAGTTTGTCACTCATTTCAAATCATGTGTTATGAGTGATGTAAAAAATATACATGTACGTGATTTTTGTGTCTAAATGTAAGGGAAAATACCTACTTGCTTAAGATATAATTTATTTAATCTTTAAAATTCTTAAATTGTTTTATAGATATCAACGAATGCTTGGAAGACAATAGCGTTTGCCAGGGAGGAGACTGCATTAACACCAAAGGGTCCTACGATTGTACTTGTCCAGATGGCTTCCAGCTAAATGACAATAAAGGATGCCAAGGTACTTCTCTCCTCCTCTTTCTCATAATTTACACAGTCCTTCCATTCACAGTGCTTCCTGATGGTGGTCTGGGGTTGTACCACTTGCTTTATATGTAAATGGGCTTTGCCAGTTTGTATTATTAAAATGTCTTTCTTGGGTTGGCATCGAGTAGGAAGTCCTCTTCTGCATGGCACCTTGTTATGAACCGAAACTCCTGTGTTTTAGAACTGTGTCCTCCCTTTGCATGCTGTCAGCAAATGAGATCACCTGCAGTCTGTTGTTTTTTTTCATGGGTCAATCTTGGAATTTGATTCTAAATTATCTTTCTAGTTTTTCTATAGCCTTCGTGGGCATATTTCGCTTTGTCACATAGCTAATATTTATCTTTTTCCTTATCTCTGTTTTTATCCAGTATCCAGCTTTTTCTGTTCCTAAAAAAATTTCATTAATAATGTGATCAAGTCCGGCTGGTATGGCTCAGTGGTTGAGTATAGATCCATGAACCAAGAGGTCCCTGGTTCGATTCCTTGTCAGGGCTCATGCCCAAGTTGCAAACTCGATCCTCAGTAGGGGACATGCAGAAGGCAGCCAGTCAATGATTCTCTCTCATCATTGATGTTTCTATCTCTCTCTCCTTCTTTCCTCTGAAATCAATAAAACTATGTCTTTAAAATATAATTTGATCAAAATTACGAAGGACAGGATTTTATATTATTTTTCAAAGTGCTACCATATGTAATCTTCTAAACAACAGTACAGTAGATTAATAAGAAAACTAATTACTAATTACTACAACAGCTTAATTTAATATCTACTATATGCTGAGTATTGTAGGTTCCTCATTTAATTCTTACAAAATTTGTGGTAGGTTTTCTTACATTCATTTTGTGCATAAATAACTGAGGCTCAGAGAAATGAATTAGTGTGCAAGTAAGTGGTAGAGCTTTGAACCCAATATCTTCTCTCATTCCTATCTGCTCTGCCGCCATACCAATTATTGTATTTATAGCAGAAAAGAAGATGTGAGATTCAGTTGTTTTTTCCCGTGTAATGCATTGGGGCATGATTGATGCTGGGATGAAAAATTAGATAGTTTAGATACTGTGCCCCAACATCTTTAGCTGCACCTGGCTGCCCCACAAGTTCTCCTGTACTTGTTAGTCCTAGTGTTAATGGCGAACGACACCAGATGTTAGACCTTGGTCCTTGAGTTCAGCTAAGAAAAGAATTAAGAGCCAAGGAACTCAAATACAAGCAAAAATGTTTTTAGAAATTCACAGGGTTAGAAGAAGTGAGCCAGTTGGGTGGCATGAACTCAGGAAACAAGAACAGAGGTAAAAGAAGAGCCCTGGGAGCTTAGGAGAAAGAAAGGCAAAGAAAAACATTCCTGGGGGAAGGAAGGGGAAAGGTATGGGTGTGCTCCAGAGAGAGCACGCACGGGGTCCTTCATGTTAAGGGTTTTTACAGGTCTCAGGGGAGGATCTCAATAAAATATTCATCAGCTGGGTGTCCTCTCAGGGTTGTAGTCTTCACTGATTGGTCAGCGCCAGGGCAGGGGGTCATTAGTCATCACAGCTGGTCCTGATGGCAGCCATGGCATCACCCTGCCTGGCCTTGCTGCTTTTCTGGGCCTGGAGCTGAAACACAACTGAGCCCTAGATGTTATTTCTATTTTGACCAAAACTCTGTGTCTGTAGTCACCAGACCTGAAGCTTTGTTCCTAAGATTATTTGATGCTGGTCCTCATTGTTCTGAGGGCTTAATGCTTAGGGGAGTGGTTGTGCAAGGGCTTGAATCGGAGTCATAAGAGGCTGGTTTTTGGCCCCTTGCTCCTCCTTTAAGGGGGTCTACCACATGACTTGCAACATGCTGGTGAGGTAAAGGTCAAGGGATGGTGTGAACCTCATGACCAGTGATTTGCTAGTGGAGGAAGGGTCATCCTGGGGGCAAGGTCCCACTCTACAATGCTTTGTTTTCCCAGTATGTTCATTTCTAGGTACCTGGGGCTGTCCACCCTGAGGACCTTCTATAACTGGCCTCTTTTGTACTGTGATCATGACTTGTATACTGCTTACTGTGTCAATAGTATTTCTGTGCCTATTCTTCCCATTAAAGATCACATTTATATTTACCTTTATGCATATTTATTTTTGAAAATACTATTTTTTCTTATTGTTCTTCTGCCATTATGGAACTGTGTTTTGTACCTTCAAGTAACATTTAATAAAGGATTGTTGAAGTTATTCTCTATGCACTGCTACTGAACATATATGACTTCTTTATTCTGGATGGTCATAAACTATATCTCTTCTCACATATCCCAAATTACAGTATTCTTTTTTTTTGATCCTCATCAAGGATATTTTTTCCATTGATCGTTAGAGAGTAAGGGAGAGGGAGAAAGAAAGAGAGAGAGAGAGAGAAACATCAATGTGAGAGAGACATATTGATTGGTTGCCTTGCGTACACGTCCCAACCAGGGCTAGTGATCAAACTTGTAACTGAGGCACGGGATTCGAACCTGCCACCCTGCATTGCACAGGTTGACGCTCTAACCTCTGAGCCACCTGGGCCAGGGCAAATTATAGTATTCTTGAAAGGGAAGATGGTCTAATCATTAAGATGTGGTACTGGAATAATATTATACCCTATATCCGTATCACACACACAGCTGTATGTCACTGAGATACCAAAGACATGGGCCTTTGCCTCAAGATCTTTTACAAGTAATTGCCTTATTGATCCCAAGACGTAAATACACTGCTGTATACCTCACTTAATATCAGACACTTGCCATCATGATTTTAATAAAATGAATTGAAGTTTTTCAGTATTTACAAAGCAGAATTTAAATGTACTTGGATTTAATGCAGTAAAGAAGGAACATTTGAATAACAAATTTGTGTGAGATTATCCACTTTGGGACTTTTACATCTTAACAAAATGAATCTTGATTTGCATAAAAATGCCAAGAGATGCCTGGAAACGAACAAACAAAACCAATCTAAAATCTGTCTTAAATACAAATTTTTTTGGCTGAAATGTAATATTTTCTTTTCTGATATCTTTCATCACAATTTTTCTTATACCAACTAGAGGCAAAATCAAGTTTTAGCATAAATGGACCATGATTTGATATTGCAGATTTTATTATTAAACATCTCGAGTTAAATCATGAAGAACTAGTTTAGTTGCATCACTATCTTTGCTCAGACCATTAAATTTGTTTGTGATTTGATATCAACTCTCACGTATGTGACTGCTTCAAGCATATGATGCTTTATTGACTGTCATTAGTTGACTTCATTCTCTGTCACCTTGTTGATTCCTATTTTCCAGAATGAATTAACATGTCTGCTTAAAAAATCTGAAATCCAAATGAATGAACAGTATTCCTGAAGCTGGTTTTAATATCTTTTAAGCAATATCATCTATGAATCCGCTCTGTCACCCGCTGTCTCCTCTCAGAGGCTGTTCATGATCAGAGGCGTGCACACTCCCTTTGTTTTGAATTATCTCTTTTTGCTATGTTTTTGGAGGCAACCTTGTGGTCTTCCGCTCTGCTTGAAGTTAGTAGCCTGTTTCTATCTAATCCCATGGTCATGTCACCATTCTGTAGATTGGCGGAGATTTCCGTTTGTTTTAATGCTGAAAATGTAATAACAATGTGTATTAGGCATAAACTTTAAACCTTCCCTAATAATGCGAAGAAAGTTTTGTGTCAATAAGTCACTTTCAAGTGGAAGTGTATTTAAGATTCTCTTCCCCAGCGAAATTAATGATGGTATACAGGCAGCATGGAAATTCCATATTAATCGACTCTTTAAGGAATGTGGCAGCCTACATTTGAGATTCAGAACACACTTCAGCTTCACGTTTTGACTTACACACGCCAAATGGCGAATTTCTGTGGAATCTCAGACCCGTGAAAGAAACACAAATATAGCCTGGCTTTCAGCTGAGTTATTAGCAGCATAGCTTAGAAATGGCTCAATAAGTACAACCCAAATTGAATGCATATGTTTCTCGAGTTCCAGATAGTCGTGTTGTTCTTTCTTAGTGGTTTCCTGGAAAAAAAAAGTCTGGGAATCCATTTTCAGTTCCTGTCATCAAACTTTTTATACAATTATTTGTTAATCATTGACTTCTCTTGAAGCACGAACTTTATGCACATTATTCCCTCTGAGAAGTTGCAAAGCAGGCAGCTTTTAAAAGGCCACATTGAGGCACTGGATGAAATAAGGGGGTGGTCTCAACCGCCAGGGCGTGACCTAGGGCTTGATCTCTAGACCAGTGGAACTTTTTGTTACCTTTTGCCCAGGTAGAGATGACTCTAGGCAGCAGGTTGGAGAGAAAGAATGGAGCTTAATTCATTCCTCTCCTTTCAAAAGTCTTAAAATCAGTGACAATAACAAGAATGGGAGGGTTATTAAGAAAATGAGTCATTGCTGCTTGGTTTTTTACTTTTATTTAGCAATGGATAGGCCAACTAGTCTGAATTATATGGCAGATGGTAGGACAAATTGTTCAGGATTAACAGATCCTGGATACAGGGGGAGGGATGACTTTCTTGAGAAAGGGAGCAGCAGGGTTGGTGGCTAAGCATGTTCTAGAAGTCACTAGGAAGGTCTCGTGCTTTGCAGTTATTCATGCGTGCTCTTGCCTCCCCTGTTATATTGTGAGCTTCATCATGTCAAGTGCTCCATCCTATTTAACCTTCTCATAGGCATCATTCAGTAAATGTTTTTTATTGAATTAAAGATGGACTCCTATGAGGAAGTACCGAGGACCTCGTTAGTAAGAGACAAAGGATGGTCGAGGGCACTTTAGGAAGGCAGGAGAATGCCCTTAGTAGGACTACTGCCTGATGAACAGAATAAACTGATGAATGAAGTAGATCCAGACATAGATACATGGACCAAACTGTTGAATCTCAGAGGGAAGGTAGGAGTGAGTGCGTGGGTGGGTGGGGAGAGATGGACCAAAGAATCTATATGCGTATATCCATCATCCATGGACACAGACAATAGTGTGGTGAATGGCTGGGAGAAGAGGGTGCAGGGTAGAGGGGGTCAATAGAGGGGAAAAATGCCAAAACCGGTTTGGCTCAGTGGATAGAGCGTTGGCCTGCAGACTGAAGGGTCCCAGGTTCGATTCCGGTCAAGGCATGTACCTTGGTTGTGGGCACATCCCCAGTAGGAGATGTGCAGGAGGCAGCTGATCGATGTTTCTCTCTCATCGATGTTTCTAACTATCTCTCTCCCTTCCTCTCTGTAAAAAATCAATAAAATATATTTTAAAAAAATAGAGGGGAAAAAACAAAGGGGACATCTGTAATACTTTCAACAATAAAGATAAATTTAAAAAAATAAAACACAGTGCAAATAGGCAGTTTTCTGTGTTAGTACCAACATGAACATGAACCACTCTCTGGGATTCCTTATGTTGTCAACTTAACCAGTGCAATTAGAACTGGCTTGAAAGAACATCATACTTACGTCGAACACTTCATGCTTTATCACGGTTCAGGAGTGCGTCATGGCTCTGGCTACAAGGAGCAATAGCACTTTTCATTGGGACAGGCAGAGTGGACGGTGGTCAACACAAGCTTAACTCTGGCATGATTTGCTTACACATCCTCACAATAGCAGCGACCACTCTTTGACCTTTAGTTGTGTGTTAGGCACTGCACTAAGCAGTTGACCCTCATTCACCCGTTTCATCATCACAAAGCTGTACAAATAATGGGAACTTCCTGGTCTAAGCCTCCTTCTTTTTCTGGTATTTTCTTTCTTTTGTCCGTTTTCAATGAAATAAAGATTGGAGCCTGTTTTATTTATATTGTCAGCAGACATTGGTGAAGCGCCGTTTCTGAACCAAATGCAATAAATCAGCCTTGCCCTTATGAAGTGCACATCCTAGGGCAGTGATGGCACATGAACTCATTTTTTTGGTTGATTTTTCTTTGTTAAATGGCATTTAAATATATAAAATAAATATCAAAAATACACCTCTTTGTTTTACTATGGTTGCAAATATCAAAAAATATCTATATGTGACACGGCACCAGAGTTGAGTTAGGTTTTTTCAAAATGCTGACACGCCGAGCTCAAAAGGTTCGCCATCACTGCCCTAGGGATTGGTATGCCTGGATGTTACAAGGCTACAACAGAGTTAGCTGTATGCACGGCAGTGGGAGTGGGTGGAGGGGCACACAGCTTTCTCACCGACAAAGAGTATTTCACAGAGGAGCTGTTGATTCTATGAGACTGTTCCTCAAGTCTAAAATGAAGGTAGCTTGGGTTGAACCTAAGAAATTGCTCTTTTTTTGGGGGGGGGGGTAGGTCAGAAATGGTGGAACATTGGCTATTTCATATGACTCAACTTAAATAGTTTCATGACATTTCCACTTTGTCTTGTGGTCTGGTATTTGTACAAATGGTGTGATTGTGCCACAAAATAAGTGTCCAACCATTTTGTAATGGATTTCTCTACTGTAAGGTATTATAGGAAAAAAAACACACACACACAGATTTTTTTAAAGTGTTTGGAACTTTCTTTTCAATTCCAGACATTAATGAGTGTGAGCAGCCTGGACTGTGTGGCCCCCGTGGAGAGTGTCTGAACACAGATGGCTCTTTCCACTGTGTCTGCGAACAGGGCTTCACAATCTCTGCGGATGGCCGTACGTGTGAAGGTAAGATAAACACGAGGAATCCTGTTGTTAACCGCGTGATAAAGCAACGAGGACGCTGCTTTCTATGAAACAGGCCAAGACTCCAAGACACTAAGAGATAGTCCCAACTGAAGACCTCCAGGCATCAGGGCGACTCCTCCCAGAAATCATCGCTCAGGGCTGCTGGGATTTACAAGTAGGATAACCTAAGGTTACGATGGGGAAAATACTCACGGATGACTTCACTGCTGGTACTGAATTAATGAGTCAAAATGCACGGGAGGCGATGATTTAGGTGCACGTGGGAGACCTAAAGGAAAACTGGCAACTCCGGGGTGTAACTTGACACGGGGCCTGTTTTGATTATGCTCCATATAGATCATCTCCATCATTCTGTTTATAAAAATAATGTCTTGCTTGATTTCTCTGCACCACTGCCAGCAGAGACTTTCCAGAGTTATTCCTCTAAATAGCCTTAGCTCTAGGCCAGTATATTTTTTTTACCTGTCAGTATTTATTATCCCCTGCACGCTAATTCAGTTAAGATAACACTGTTGGCTTCCTGTTTGCAACCTCTGTGTGTTTGTAGGGATACAGCCTTGGTTAGAGTCATAAGATTTATGTCCTTGATGACATTATAGTTTGATAAATGGAGGAATAATTCATCGGAACCTTTTCAAAAGAAAAATGAGCAGATTCCCATAATCATCATTTCAATCTACCTCTTTGAGAACGTCGGTTAGGAAAACCCAGCTATGTTGTAAGGAAGTAAAATGGGAAAGTTCTGTCCTGGGGCTATGAGAGAACCCACATTCTTTGCTGGAAAAAGGAGTGCAGCGGGAAGTCTGCTCTCCTTGCTCACACCACAGTGGAATGGTCTGAGGAAAAGCGACCAGGTTCATCTGAAACTAATTATTATGTTGGGAGGAATACACTGATCTTATAAAAAGCAGGAGATTGTTGAAATTGCTCTCCTGCTGAGCAGACAAAACATTGATGCCAGATTTGGCCTCAAGTGAAAAAAAGAGATAGTGCAGGGTGCGGTTTGAGCAAGCAGATTTTGAGGGCTTTGGAAGTGATCAAAAGTTGGGAAGTGGAGCGAAAACATCATAAAAAGGTGGCCATGAGAGATTTACGAGGACGCCATGTTTTCGTGGTTCGAGGTTTAGGTTAATTTTATACCGAGAGCTCTGAGACTTCGGAAACATGCCGCAGGAACGCGTCCGTTCTTCTGGAGGGACGGCGGCATCTGAACCACTGATGAGACCGGATTGCGGAACGCACCTTTCCCTGCGTTCCAGAAAGATGCAGGGTGGCCTCCTCAGTGAGCTCTAAGTCCTGGCTGGACAGGGCTCCCTTCACTGGAAAAGAGTGCAAGTTAGACCTGCCAATAGTTGTGCCATGAAAAAACTATGTTCAACAAAGTGTAAGACGCTCAAGTGCTCACTTGTCAACACTTTCATTCTAGAAGAATATACCAACGTAAATATATTCCCATTTATTTTTTTCTCTTAGACTTAGTCATTTTCCTTTGTCTCTATCTTTTTTAATACTGATTTTTGCAATTCATGAGTTTTATAGTCACTTTAATTACAGTTCTAATTTTTTCAAATATATTTTTGTTGGTTTCAGAGAGGAAGAAAGAGAGAGAGAGAAACATTAATGAGAGAGCATCATTGATGGGCTGCCTTCTGCATATTCTACCCTGGGGATCAATCCCCAACCCAGGTATGCATATGCCCTGACCTCCTGGTTCATAGGTCAGTGCTCAACAACTGAGCCACACCAGCCAGGCTGCAGTTCTAATTTTTGTTATGCATTTGCTTGGCAAAGACTTGAACTTCAAAATGAGTTTTTAGAAAATGTCTAGTGTTTTTTAAATTATTGTACCTTAGTATACTCTCTCTGACACTTGGTTCATTCTTTTAACTCCAGAACCTGGACAATTTTACAAGTACTAAAATCGGTCATTCACAATATTGTGCTGCTATAGGGCAGTGTTACTAGAACTCTTCTAATGATTAGACATGGTATTCTCTTTCTAGAATAAGCTCTGCAAGGCTTTCGTTTCGTTTGGGCTTAATCCAATATATTAAACCGGCCCACGTTTCCTTCTGTTGGACTGAAACTCGTGGCAGTAGCCGTGTGTCCTGACTGCCCCTGGCCGTGGCCAAGGTGGAAGCCAGGCCATGTCATCGGGAATTACCTGGGGAGCTCAGGTCCTTGAATGACATCATTCTGTTCAACGTCGTTTTGCTGTAACCTTGATGAGATGCCAGAGGGGCTTAACTCTTGTTTATGGTCTCAATCAGCTGATAGTAAAATTGGTTTCATTGTGCGTTGTTTCGCTGCGAGTTGTGGAACATATTGACGATGTTAAGTGAAGATCTGTATTGGGCTTGAATTCACATTGAGAACGCGTTTGGCACTCCTACGCGCATGCCGCTCCCCAGCCCCTGAACTTCTGGTAAAGCCGCTAAAGCCGCATGGGTGCTGGGGCTGGCACACCCGGCTCTCGGCAGGGCTGAGTGGGTCCCACCCCGCTCGGGAAGGAGGGCCCTTCCCTCGTTGCCCGTGGCCTGGAGAGTTGTCTGCATCTGGTCAGTTAGGGAACACAGCGAAGAAGCTGTCTCTGTCAGCATGAACCATCTCGAGTGTCAAGTAGCAGGTTCCATAGAAATAAAAACAGTGCAGCTGGCTGCCTCCCTCCCCTGCTGTTGGTGGCCTCTGGGAGCACCTGCCTGCAGAGGAAGGAGAAGCACCTTGCTCGTCCTACATGACAGAGGACAACAGTGTTATTTGCAGGTCAGCCGGAGTGGAGTGGGAAGTAAGTGGTGAATGAGCAGCTATTTCATTCATGTATTCATTCACTCCAAGAATATACAGAGTGCCTGTCCTTGCCCCTCATTGTTACTGTTCTAAGGGCAAAACCCACCCAGTTCTTGCCCACATGGAGCCTACATTCCAGGCAGGGAATTGGGGATAAATAAGTAAATAGTACCTGGAGAAAATTGTGTTTTTGTATTTAAGTAATACAGCCTAGTTCTACTCCATGGGAATTAATGCCAAGGTTTTTTTTCTCAAGTCCCACCCATGGGACCAGGACCAGGACGCTTTAATTGCTGCCTCCTGTCTGTGCTTCCCCTTCTTCTCGTACTAGTAAGTGTGGCTCATTTGCTCCTTCACTCCTTTGTGTCCTCCGGCCAGAGCTGTGATCTTGTGTAGAAAAGCGAAGGAAACTTGGACTTCTTTCACTTTTATATCCCAGTGCATCAACTCTTTTGTTTAAAACGTCATAATTCTTTTTCCCTCTTACTGTTTCTCACTTTTTTTCTGTGGAATTTTTCTAAAAACATATTTTATTGATTTTTTACAGAGAGAAAGGGGGAGGGATAGAGAGAAACATCGATGAGAGAGAAACATCCATCAGCTGCCTCCTGCACACTCACCACTGGGGATGTGCCCGCAACCAAGGTACATGCCCTTGACCAGAATCGAACCTGGGACCCTTGAGTCCGCAGGCTGACACTCTATCCACTGAGCCAAACCAGTTAGGGCTACTGTGGAATTTTAATGCATATGCAAAGTATCTGTCATCCCATTTATAAGGTGACTCGGGGTTTGGTTTCTTCATCGTCAGCAGACTGTGTGTGAGTGGGAGGCGACTAAGGAAACGGACAGTCGGATTCCTACGTGCCACCTCGTCTGTCCCCTGACGCCCTGGAGAGATGCCTGCTGGAGGCTGACTTTGCATCACTCCCCTGGCCGGCCTCTTTGCCCACTGCTCTCGGTGGGGTGTCCAGGCTGAGTGAGAGCTGGAGTTGGGGACACCAGACACCTCTAGACCTCAGCATGCTTCCAGCCTGTTCACACAACAGCATGGCCACACTGGCCCCGAAAGGACCTTGAAGAAGCCTGACAATGCAGAGGGAGCAAGAGTGGCTTTCAGAACCTGGTAGTCTTGGCTAATTAGGCCCACAAACAAAGACCAACATCACCCCCTAAAGCCCTGCCTTTTAGAGCGCCTCTTCAGGCCTTCATTCATTTGGCAAATATTACTTAAGTGTATACTACGTGCCAGTCACCGTTCTCGGTGGGTTTATAAAAGAAAGGTTGACATTTTCTGTCTGGGGACCGAAGGAAGCCTTTCTCTTTCAAACCACTTGTCCGCTGGCCAAGTGACAGCAGCCTTAACAGACAAGAGGGCCTGCGGTTCTCTGCCCTTGGCTTCTTCCTATTGCCAACAGGAATTCTGCTGTCCGAACAGGGAATAAAAAAATCAGAACAGCAAGAGTAAACCCTAATGTCAGCTATGGACACTGGGTGACAGTGATGTGTCCCTGTTGGTTCGTCATTTGTAACGAAGGTACCACTCTGCTTCCCTAGTGTTGATAGTGAGGAAGGCTGGGGGAGGGTGCGGGTTGGGGGATCTGGGGGAGTATGGGAACGTTCCGTGAAATTTTACTGTGAACTTAAAACTGCTCTTAAAAATAGTCCGTTTTTAAAAGTCAGGCATTTCTGGAATTACCTATTTTTCATCAGAAAAGAAAAGTCAGCACCTTTCATTTTAATTCTGTTTTCTAGTCCTATATTTTCCTGCCCTGATGTGGTTGTTTGTTTCTCACTTTTATGCCCCAGACAGACCGTGGGATCAGAAGCTTCTGCTCCCATTTTCTAAGCCATTCGAACATTGATTCACAAACATGGCACTACAGGATTGGGAGGGGACTGAAAATGCCCAGCCTGAATCGGAACCCCAAAGTACAGCAAGGTCCAGGTCCTGTTGTTAGACAGCCATGGAGACTCGAATCCCCAAACCTTTCTAGGTGCCTGCTGTACCCCACTTGTTCACTCATTCACTCGAAAGGGAAAACATACCGAACGCAGGTGGCCAGGATGGCTGGCTTTGCGATGCTTCCTGAGAACAGTGATCACAGAGAGACTGAAAGAAGTTGGGTTCAAACTCTCAGGCCACTTTTGTGTTCATCGGGAACCAGAAAAGGCAGTAAAGGCACCTTTTG